AAGAGTGAGTGATTTTCAAGAAGTTACTTAAACTACATGGTTAAATAAGATTTGGTTGTACGCAATTCGCAGATTGGGTAATGAGCAGACAGAAAATGAAGTTGCTAACTTAAACAACCATGTGGAGAAATTACATGTTGTATTAGGAAGCTTAGGGCTTAATGCTTGAAGGAGAAAATAACCTAACTGAATCTAAACTGATTACCTGAAGTAAAGAAAAGCGGGGAGAGTTCCCATGCCTACTCTTGTTCTGACACAAGTCTCCCTACAGCTGTGAGGATAATTTATCAGCACGTGAAAAGCCAGTGGCTGTCGTGTCTCGAGGCAGGCAGATTTCTCTCAAGCTGGGTAGAGAATGCACGCTTGACTCCTTTCTCATCTTTCCTTTCACCAATGCCTGTGTCTTGTATTTGTGGCGTTGTGCCTGCCATTTAATCAAAGAAAAGAAAAACGCCAGTGAAAAAACTGAGTTTTCCGGGGTTACCCAAAGTGAGGACTGGCTTACCAGTGTGAAGGGCTGAGGCTGGCTGGGATATAGGCTGTGCCAGGCAACATTTTCCTGGTGGAATGGCCGGTTGGAGAAGCCTGTTGGCAGTTCTGGGCTCCAGCATACTGACCGGTAAAAGGCAGATGCTTGTTCAGGGGTGCCACTAACTGAGTGGCCAGAGTGAAAGCCTGGGCAGGCCCTCAGCAAGAAGGGGAGAGTGCAGTCCTCCTGCCCGACAAAAGGTGAAAGGGCCCTTCGAGCCTTTGCTCTCCTAGAAGCAGACAGGAGCCTGGCAAGATGCTGGGGACATAGAAGTGAGCCACAAAGAGTGAAATGGCAAACTTGCTCAGATGAGCAATACCAAATACATTTTTCCTTTGCTTCCCTTACCCTAGTTATATAATTTCATGCAATTTCTGGTGAACTTTACCATATTCCTGCCCACGCCCCAGGCATTGGACTGTACAGAATAAGGGTAGCGTGAGCTGGCTTTGTAAGTGTTGCAGATCATATCTGTATTTAACAAATTACATTATTTTAATGGATCTAAAAATAGAATAAGGGTTTTTGTCTCTGTTGCTTTTTCTGTCTATGGAATTTGCAGGAAAAATAGAACTGGAAAGAGCAAAATACTATTGAGCAATGCATTACCTGTGATAGGATATCTGTGGGAGGGACTGCAAAAGTAGCCAAAACTTAGGGTGGAGGAAGAAAATGTAAATTTTAGGAGTTTTTAACATGTTTGTTAAGCATAGAAATAATAGTTTGCTAAGGGATGAAATGGTACTATTGATTATTGAATTATCTTTTTTGTGAATGATAAATCAGTGCTGAGATGTTTGATAGCTGTCTAACATTTCAGACCAGTCCTCCGCCGACTTCAACCCAGTCACCAGAAAGCACCATGGATACCTCACTGAAAAAAGAGAAGCCAGCCATTTTGGATCTGTACATACCACCTCCACCAGCTGTTCCATATTCTCCTCGGTATGCAAATAAATGTGCACTACTGAACAAAAAACTCCTTTATTATGCTTGTTTCTGAGCTGGCTTGCGGTTAGAGCTCTGTGCAAATTAACCTGAGGAACTGCAGATCTCACAGACTTTCTTCCAGTTGCTTAAATGCATAGGATTGCTTAAGATTGCCCAGGGAGGCTGTGGGGTCTCCTTCTCTGGAGATATTCAAGACCCGCCTGGACAAGGTCCTGTGCAGCCTGCTGTAGGTGACCCTGCTTCGGCAGGGGGGTTGGACTAGATGGACCCACAGAGGTCCCTTCCAACCTCTAATATTCTGTGATTCTTTGAAACTACCATAAGCATAATAAGTTTTATTATTAGAGGATTATTGTGTGCCACATAGATCAGAGTTGTTCCCAAAACATGAATGGATCTCATCCCTAGTGTTGTTGTGGAGTTATTTTTTTGATTTTGTTTAAATCTGACTGCATGTAGCAAGAAGTAATTTTAGACTTTTTGTAACTTTTCTGACATTTTGTATCTTTTTCCACTGTTTTTTTGTTCGGGTTTTTTTTTAGGAAGTTAAGTAACTGTTGTGGGAGTTAGGGTGGAAAAGAACTTGCTTTAAATTGTTTAACTTGCAAGCTGTGTAGAACAGGAATGTTCCCACTGATGGGAAGGGAGAGTCAATGCATTCGACTTTATTTTTTTCCCTGTGGTGTAAGCTATAAAAATGTAGACCTGTGTACAAAAAAGAGGGGAAGGGGGAACATGGTATGGCTAGCTTGTGTTTGTTCTCAGGGCCATGTTGATTCATGCCAGAATCCTGCCAGCTGACCTGGGAAGGTGATGGACAAAAGGGTTTTCAGGCAGGGCATGCTTCCTGGCCTGCCCTGATGCTTTAGGTACACATTGACAGCCCAGCACAGAAACTCTGACCTTTTGCTGCAGGACTCATGTGAGAGGAGAGCTTGCCTCCTGTCTTATAAGGCCTGATACAGAGAGAGAGGTTGTATTACCGCAGTCTTGAGGGTAGTACCGGGGTGAGGGATGAGGGATTCTCCATGGTAGGGTCTCTTCTTTGAAGCAGGACTCACCTTGACCTGCGGTCTCCCAGTTTTTCATGTTTATGCGTGTGCAGTTCTTTTTTTTTTTTTTTTAAATAATCAAATTCCTTGGCATAAAAACAAGTATGTGGATTTAACAGCTGAGTTTAGAATGCCTTGATCTTTTCTTTAAATTTTTACATTTTGGGTTCATTGGTGAATTTTGTGCATGTGCTCAGTTTGTTTATCTCTCTCCTAAAAAGTCACAAAATTATACCTAGTTTCAGATGCCTTTAGACCTGAATCCCGGTTGACAAGGAAGGAAGTAGCAGTGTGAGCTGTAAAACTTGTCCTGGATGATGTGTGGAAAGGAGAAGGCTTCTTGACTTTGACTTTTAAAGAAAGCAAATGTGGGAAGCTGTGGCAGCCAGGAAGAGGAGAAAGGAGAGTTCTCTCACCTTCTGTTTGGCTGTTTAATTTCAACTCTGCATGTTTTGGTCTTCTCTTGAAAATGTGATGCATTTCTGTGGTCATTTCTTTTTTCCCCCCTCATCAGCTTGTTCTCTTCCCTTCCTGTCATGGACCTTCTGTGGTCCACGCTGGGGAGGCAGAGAGCAGTGGCTGGTTTCACTCCTCATGACACAGTCTCCACAGGGTGGTGTTGTAGGAGAGCACTCTCTGTACATCCAGTTGTGGTGTAACACTTCAGTGCAATTTTTGGTTCCCGAATCTCCATAAATAGCTCCCTGCCATTCACTGAGCTCTAGCATTGTCCTTGGTGGAGAGCTGGAAAAAGTGGTATGTGCTGGCCAGGGGGCCATTGTGAATACTGGGGTATGCACGTGCTTAGACAGTCAGCTGTGTATTTTTATACATGACTTGTCTGATGGTTGCTTCAAGCAATAAGATTGTAGCAAGTACAGAGAAGGGGGAAAAAACCCCTAGACAAATCTCAACTTGAAGGGTAGCTATTCTTCCAAAAGTACTCACGAGGACTAGTTCTAAAAAAAAAAAAAAATGACTCTTCCTGGCCTTTGGAATGAATGATTGCTCTGGGAAAGGAGTTCCTGAAGAAATTGCTCAAAATCATATGTCTATACACTATGAATTTATTACTGAAACTCTCAAGGGGTGTCTCAGTTTTGGCTGAAGTGACGAATATCCAGTGGTGATTACTGGGCTCTTAGAATGCCTGAAAAACGTGGTCCCTCAGATGGAGGTGATGGATGTTGCTGTTACACAGAGATGGATAAATCAATGCATGCACTCCTCTCTGTCACAGCTGTGTGCTGAACAGGCGGTGAATGCGGAGCTTTGATACCCTAAGGGCAGAAAGGTCTCATTTCTCAAAAGCTTTTTCAGGGGTGGTATCTCTAAACTTCTCTGTGTGTTAAATTAGTAGCTCATTAAAAGTGAATTAGCATGAGAGGTGTAGCTTTCTTTTCTCCTTGGTAAAGATGTTTATAATGAAATTTTCCATCACCTGACTTGGGCTTTTTTCAGCTTGTTTGCCGCACAATGCCAGTTGTCAGGAGTGTGATGGGGGCTAGAATTATCTTTCAAACCTAGTCATGTCTGTAGCGTGAAATTCTTTGAAGCCACTAACTGAAGTGAAATGTCCTTTCAGAGACGAAAAGGGAAGTTTTGTCTATGGAGGAGGCAAGAAACCCAGTCAGCCACTCCTTGGGTCCAAGGGCGCTGAGTCTCCCAATTCTTTTCTGGATCAGGAGAGTCGAAGGAGAAGGTTTACTATCGCTGATTCGGATCAGTTGCCTGGCTATCCCATGGAAGCAAATATCCTGCCACCCAAGATGAGGGAAAAGACACAGTCCTATGGTGAGTTCACTCCTCTTTCATTATTGCTGTTATGATAAACGCTTTGGTCAGTTTGGAGTAATTTATGTTGGTAAACTGCGGGTTAGACTTGATAGATATTAAGGGCAGTTGGAGCAAATTGTGAATGTGAATGAAATTCCACCTCTGAAATAATTTCACTTCAGTGCTGTTACTTCTTTAATGAATGTCATTCAGCTGCACTCTGCTGCTACGGTTGGCCGTTACATGTGTTTTGGTTATTATATCCCTACTGCTGTAAACGAGCAGGAGTGTGGCTGTTTAACCTCAGCACATTGCTTTCCTCTATTTCACCAGTGGAACTGAAATATTTTTTTCCTGTAATTTTAACACCTTATTGCTGTATCTCTCCCTTTGCTTGTTGTGAAAAGTATCAATTTAAAAAATTAGTTGTCTAAACTTATTGTAATTCCTCATAACCTTCTCTGTTGCCTTTAGGGAAACCTCGTCCTTTGTCAATGCCTGCTGATGGCAGCTGGATAGGAGCTGCAGAACCCTTCTCCAGGCCACGAGCACCAGGGAGAAAAGGCAAGGTTTATGGTCTCATCTCTCTTCGCTTTCTCTCCAAAATTTCCTTGGGGTGAATTGGATGGATGTGTCTGAATTAGAAATGAAGGATTAGAAATTTGTGAGGCTAGTCAGCGCTGGGGCTCAAACTTTTGTTGTTCCAGCTTAGAATTCTTGTGAGCATTAAAAATAGACTAGAATGATTAGGGCAGATCTGTACTTGTCTGTTTATAGCACAGGTTTACCATTTTGCTCTTTCACCCTTCTCCCTTCCCTTTCTTCTGTATTTAATATTGATCATGAAACTGTTTTTTGACAATTCTTTATGTTTAGCTCACTGTGGAGGCTGTTGTAGAAGTAAGCTTGTTCTCAAAAGTAAAATGTAGGGCCTTTTAGGAGCTGCTTTTTGCTATGACTGCTGTTAGAAAACAACATGTTCTGCAGATGTCACAGAATGAGAGAGACAGACGCTGATAATGTTGGGTGTTTAGGCTGGGTGGCTTTTTTTGCTTCCTCTACTGTTCTTCTCTCCCTCCCCCCTATTGCATCTGAAAGGCTATGAATCTTGTTAGAGTGGGAAATAAGGAAGGATGACTATTTAGCTTATTCTTGAGATCAGTTATGAAAGCTGATGTGTAATTCTAGGGAAAATAGAAACTTAATTCTTTTATTTTAATGCAAAAATAGAAGGCAAAAACAAGAAGCAGCAATCTGGAAGGCTATTAGAACAACACGCTAAGTAACAACTCTAACAGAACGATCACCAGGTGGCAGGGCTGGTTTTTGTGTGCATGGTTTTTTGTTTCATTTTGCTTTTGGTTTTGTGTTGGCTTTTTTTAACACTTGAAATGTACTTAAGTGCTGCAGGCTTGTAGGTAATCTGTATTGGGTCAGGACAAAGACCTGTGTAGCCCAGCAGGATGTCTCTAGCAGCAGACGTGGTCAGGTGTCTAGAGAAGAGTAAAAACAGAGAAAGCATCACAAATCAATGATCAACAAGAGGGAAGTGCTTACATATTTATCTGCAAAATTAATTTATGTTGTCCAGAGTAATATTTGTAACTTCTAAGTTTGTCTCGAGCTACATTCAGATAAACGTGGGTTCAGCTTCGGTCTGTCAGCATCTTGAATGTTACAAGAAGGTTTGCTAGGTCTCATGACAATGATTTGCGTGAAGCTGGTCTGTACTTGCAGTTTTGATGTGTGTGAATCTGAAATTTAACAGTTAGATAGTATCCTCTTTGTGTGTGAATTTCTTTTGTTATTCTGTGTGTTGCTTAAAAAATATTAAAGGTGGAAAAAGCTATAAATCCATTGACAGCTGCGTATGTCCAAGTGTGTTATGAAAGGTAACCAAAATCTGGGTAATCTAAAATGCAATCAGAATAATTTAATAAGAATAGAAAATGTTAGTGGAGAGTTTTGAAGCCAGCAATAATTGTTTTTCCTCCTCCTGTTTGCACAGGTGAAGATGTCCTCTGCAGGTACTTCAGTAATGAAAGGATACCCCCAATCATTGAAGAAAGCCCCTCCACACAACACCCCCTCTCAAGGCCAGTGTCTGACAAGCAGTTAGTGAGGGGAACGGATTATATTCGAGGCAGCAGGTGTTTTATGAATACAGACCTCCACAACAGTGCAACAATTCCTTTTCAAGAGGAAGGTGCTAAAAAATCCTCTGTTACATCATCCACAAAATCTTCACCTGCAGAGCCCTCGCTGCTGGTCAGTTGGATCACAAGACTGAAATTGTTGACTCATTGACTGTTGTTCACAGGACTGTTACCAAGTGCCTTTGCTCGTCGGTCAGACTTCGCTACTTTTCAGCTTAACTGGTGCATAGTGACTAATGCGGTATTCTTTTCCTGGAGAATCTCACATTTTTACTTTTTTGTTTGTGGCTTTTTGATGGATCAGAGGGTTTCATAGTGCAAGGAGGGAAGAAAGATAAAGATCAAGTTCCTCTTCCTGGCCAAAAGCTAAAGACATTTATTGCCCTGGAAATGAGTAAAATTTCAGTGATACAGAGGCCACACGTGACCTGAAATATGCATAATGACTCGGAGGAAATCATTGCATTACCATAAAGTCCAGTGGTGCTTCAGTTGTCTGAATGCTCAGAGGGTGGGTGTCAGAGTACGTAGAGCTCAGCAGAAGTGGTGTTAGTCTCCTGACCAGGAAAGATAAGCAGGAAAGTGGCAGCTTGTCGTGGCTTAACCCTAGCCAGCAACTAAGCACCACGCAGCCCCTCTTTCCGCCCCAGGGGGATGGGGAGCAGAATCAGAAAAAAAAAAAAAGGTAAAACTTCTGGGTTGAGATAAAGACCGTTTAACAGGACAGTAAAGGAGGAGATAATAACAATGATAATAAAATACACATAATGGGCAATGCACAGTGCAGTTGCTTACCACGCTATGATTGATGCCCATCTCACCCCTAAGTAGCAATCCCAGCTCCCCCCCATTTATATACTGAGCATGATGTCATATGGTGTGGAATATTCCTTTGGTCAGTTTGAGTCAGCTGTCCTGACTATGCTCCCTCCCCATTTCTTGTGCACCTCCTTGCCTGGCAGAGCATGGGAAGCTGAAAAGTCCTTGACTTAGTATAAAAGCATTACCTAGCAACAGCTAAAACTTCAGTGTTTTCTCAACATTATCCTCACGCTAATTCCAAATCACAGTACTATACCAGCTGCTAGAAAGAAAATTAACCCTATCCAGGCCGAAACAAGGACAGGACATAGTTTCATGCAAATTAGTGATGCTGTTGCAAGGACTGCATGAGATCAGCCATGTGAGGAAGTAGTAGTAGCGTTGCCATTGTTTCTCTGACATCCAGAGATCACAGAATCACAGAATAGTAGGGGTTGGAAGGGACCTCTGTGGGTCATCTAGTCCAACCCTCCTGCCGAAGCAGGGTCACCTACAGCAAGCTGCACAGGACCTTGTCCAGGTGGGTCTTGAATATCTCCAGAGAAGGAGACTCCACAACCTCCCTGGGCAGCCTGTTCCAGTGCTCCGTCACCCTCAGAGGGAAGAAGTTCTTCCTCATGTTCAGACGGATCTTAGGAAGTCTTAGGGAGAGTGTTCTCTTATTCAGAGATCTTATGAAGTTGGATTAATTTAATAATAAATCAATCCAACCTGATACATAATCCATTTTATTGAAATCACAGTACGAATAAAGAGCGCTGAGCAACTGCAGTGCTCATCCGTAAAAATATATGGATTGCTACAACATGCCAAGGAAATGCATCTGTAGAGATGGTAAAAGAATGTATATTTTTTCCTTAATTGTTTAAGAATGATTTGCTGTTAACCAAAGTAAACTTTTAAAGACAGTCCTGTTGGACTTACGAGAACTATTACAGTGGTTCAGTTTTTGAATGATGTGTTGTTTTTATGAAAAATATGTGGTATGATACATTACAATTGTAAGACATCTTGCTATTTTCTATATAGCTCAAATTTTTCCCCCTCTAGAATTTTAAAGTAGCATTGAGTATTTTGGGAGGAAAATAAAACTTGTTTAACAAAAGAAGAGGATATTAGAGAGGTATTGTTTAAAACTGAATGTACGTAAGATTGTGAGTATGCAAGCAGTTGTGTTTAAAGTAATTTAAATGTTAAATACAGTTGTATATATTTTTTACACTTAAACAGATACAGTTTGTACCTTCCTGTCTGTGGTACTGGGCACAGATTAGTCAAATGAAAAGAAAAAAAAAGTCTTTTGTATTCCCTGCTAATTATAAGACTAACTATTTTCATAGATGATATGTTGCCAGCAGCCTTTAGTCCTTTGGTCTTCCTGAAAAGAAAAATAAATTATATTTAAAAATTGGTGGGGAAAGAGGGAGGTTGAACACTAGTTTGCACTTAGGGCTGGGGCAGGAATTGTATGTGATAACATGACTGTTTAAAACATACCATAATTCTGGCTGTGAAGATGTGACCATTCTGCTGCAACAAGCTTATGAAGTTGCGCTACAGCCCTGCAGAGACAAGGTGTTAAATTCAGTTTTCAATTGATTACATTTGTTTGTGACTCACTGGTGATTTAGGTGGGGGCTGGTATGGACCTTTCTGATCGAAGCAGACTACAATATGTCTGTCTTGTGCCGCTCTTCTCCCCTCCCCAGGATGGCAATCTCTACTAGAGATGTGGCCAAACACAGCTGCAGTGCAATTGAACCCTAGATCAGTTGGGCCCTGCCTCTGTGGAGAGGGCTGAAACTGCTGTGTTGTAGGCACTGTGGTGTTGTATAGTCCAGCCCCAAATTGACTGAACTGTTTTAAATCACGGTTACTGAACTAGATTAAAGTCAGATGTTGTCTAAGCAAGACTTTAAAATGGAACTTTTGCTTATCTTTAATGCCTTGTTTTCCATGGTTTAAAAATTAACAGAGAAGCGTCGTGCATATTGATGTGGAAGAAACTATGGATGTACTCGGTTTCTTTGGGTTGCACCTGGGCACTCTTTTAAGACACTGACAACTTTGCTTACTTGGTTTGGTTGGTTCTCTTGAAGTTTGATCTAAGAGTAGTGAAATAAGCTTGCTCTAATTTAACAGGTAACTTTAAATCGTAGAACCGTAGAATAAAGGTTGGAAGGGACCTTTAAAGGTCAACTAGTCCAACTCTTCTGCAGTGAGCAGGGACATCTTCAACTAGACCAGGTTGCTCAGAGTCCTGTCCAACCTGGCCTTGAATGTTTCCAGGGATGGGGCATCTAACCACCTCTCTGGGCAACCTGTTCCAGTGTTTCACCACCCTCATTGTAAAACATTTCTTCCTTGTATCCAGTCTAAATCTCCCCTCTTTGAGTTTAAAACCATTACTCCTTGTCCTGTTGCAATAGGCCCTGCTGAAAGGTTTGTCCCTATCTTTCTTATCAGCCCCTCTTTAAGTACTGAAAGGCCACAACAAGGTCTCCCCGGAGCCTTCTCTTCTCCAGGCTGAACAGCCCCAACTCACTCAGCCTGTCCTCATAGGAGAGGTGCTCCAGCCCTTTGATC